GCAGTTTCACTCCTGGGGGGTCTGTTGCACCTCCTTTCCCCACCTCCATGGCGTGTTAACTCTAAAGCTGCCTTTGATGGCAACGGTCTAACTTGCTTTCCTTCCTGATTTTTTTTTTTTTTTTGGTGTTTTTTTGTTTTAGCAGTATGGCAGGGGGGGGGGGGCGGAGTAAAAGTCACATTCAGTGCCGCTTAGAGGTTTGTCACCTTCCGGAACATCTCGGTGCGGCTAACAGGGAAAACATCTTAGTTGGGAGGCTATCCTGAGTTTTGCTTTAAAGTAAACATAATATTTTTTTTATAAATGCAAACCTACAAATCACAAATAAAATCTGCAATTTTAAGATCAGGACAGGCCCGTTGTGTACGAACTGGGCTAAGCTGTTTTCTCTCTGTCGGTGGTTGTGTTTTTTCTTCACTTCCTATTTCTCGCCATTTGCCTTCCTTGTTTAAGACTTGTGCGATAGCAGACAGGGTGAACTGTTGTGTTCTTTGGTTTTCAATTTGTGCTTAAGGCTTTCATTAATTATTAGGGAATCCATAGGCCCTTCTTATCATTGCCAAAATTTGTAGCCATTGTGAAGCTTCCTGTAGCTATTACTGTGTCAAAAGACTTGTTCCTTCCTCTGTAGGAATAAGCTGCCCGCTTAATTCTTGGGGATAATTCCCAAACGAGGTAAGATTCCTAATGAATTTCAGAGCTGTTGATTTTTATACAGTATGCCAGACTATCAAAAAGCCTTTAAGTGTCTCATTCGCATGCATAGGTACTTGCATTTCGTTATGTGGTGAGGTGATTTGGAGTGGCAGACGATCTGGTACCTTGTAAAGCTCACTGTGTTCTTTATTGCAATAACTATGTTAGTGATGCTCAGGATTTTCAGGAGAACCTTAAATACTGTTCAGAAGAAGAAACCGCATTTGTGAGATAGCAATTTTAAATTAGTTAGCAACACAGTAATTCCTTTTGTATATAACTGTTTCCTATCTCTGAACAAGCTGCATTCTGAAATTTTTAAGTCTGCCACACAGCAGTGTTTAATAAAAACAAAAAAACAAACCAGAACAAAACCAGAAAAAAGTGTTCAGTTTGCCCGCTATGATGCTATTGTGATGAAATGCTTGTCATTAATTGTGGTCCACCAATGTACATTTATATCTTTTGTTTAAAATGACATTTTCTTATTTCTTGGGGAAAGAATCTTAGCGTTCTTTCCCCGTAAGGACCATTATTTGTCAGATGTCTTAATCACCAGGAAATGAGATTATAATGGTACTCAAAAATGTAACACAATGATAGACCAGTCACCGAATGTCCCACTTATGCAAGAAAGTCTTTGTTCACTGTTTACCTTACTTGGTATTACAAAGTCACTGGTACCGCAGGTAGGTTTTTTTTGGTAGTTTCTCCTATGAAACAGTTCTACAGCATTCAAGAGTCTTGAAGTGTTGTGTTCTTTCCTCCCACTCATTGAGCAAAATCTTGTTTTTGTTTTTTGCTTGTCTTTATTTCCTTTTTTGGAGGCAGACTTAGATGTCTTGCTATGACTGATGAACAGTATTAATGACTGTTAAAAATTAGATTTCAGGTCTTGCTGGGACTACCTATTCATGAAGAGGAGTGCAGGTCACCAGCATGCCTTCTCTGTGTTGAGAATGAAAATAGGTCCTACTGAGATAAAAATGACAATTTTCAGACAATAAAAGAGGAGGATCAGGAAGAAACTGGTCTGACTTGCCACACAGCAGAAATACTTCTTTCGAAATAAATTTGATTTATATTAATTTCCGAGCTTTATTGAGAATGGATGCCAACGCACATTGAGAAGTGGCTATTCATATGTATTCTGAGAGTTCAAGTATCGCTAGAGTAGCAACCATTACAGACAAGATTTGTAAAGATAACACCACTAATAGCACTATTGGTGCAAAATTGTCTGCATATCTCAAGTACAGTATATTCAGTTTCTTCCAAGATGTTTTATTAGGGAGAAGCAGGAGAAATAGCCTTTGTAGTACCAAGAGGCTTTTGGAGAGAGTTTAGACAAATAGACTTCTGCTGTTCATACTTGTCAGTAGCAAAATCTTTGTTTTGAGCATATTGTAACCACATAAAATGCTGCTGTTTACAATCATGCACCTTGAAAATTGTTCTTGTCAGATACCTAAGCTAAGTAGGGTCAGGTCTGTTTGATACTTGAATGATAGTATAGTACTTGACATCTATGGCACTCTGTTTCCAAGGACTTCAGCGTGGTTGCAGGCACTAATGAATTAAGCTTCACAATACCTGTGGGATAGAAAATATTTCCATTTACTGATGAGGAGAGGTAATTGAGATGCAGGAAAGTTAAAGGTGATTTTGTATATTTTTTTTTTTTAGGGGGTGTGCGTGAATTTTTAAAGGTGATTTTAGGGAGAAGTAGATTACTTTATTCCAGTTGTGCAATGTACAGTAGGCAGCTCTACATCTTGTTTGCTGGTTCGTAAGTCTCCTGACAAACCCCTTGTGTTTGCTGTATTGTGAGTTGAAAGGCACATACAATCACAGAATTTGCATTAAAATATCATCATCTTTTTTTTCATTGTTTTTGCCTTTTTTTTTGAGTTCTATATTTTCATGTAGAAAATTTTTGCAGTCTCCAGGTGTTTTTGGTTTTCAATCAATAGAAGATCCTTGAATTGTTTTACCCAAATAAATGTGAAAGCATGTGCAGCCATTGCTTAAATATTACCATGGATAACAGCTTTTTTGCAAAAGAGTGAGTGCTTAGTATTGTGCATGCTGCCCATTGAAAGCGATCAGTGTTTGGCACCTATGGCCTACTGATAGTTTGACCAACTTGTAAGTAGGCACAGTGCCATCTTAACAGATGGATATGAATATAGACAGCCAAGAAACCATGTATCTGTGTCTAGTGTATTTGTTAAGGGCAAGGTTCCCAGCTGGGGACGTTCAAACTTATGTCCATTTTGAATTTTAGCTTTTAGGGATAAAGGGAAGTTGTCATTAATTTATTTTTTTTTTTAACTACATACCTTCAGGCATACAATTATTGACCATGTTAAACAAAAAAAGGAGGAGAAAAAAAAAAAAAGAAAGAGGGGAAACACCAGCTCCTTCTTTAATACTCTTGAGGAGCTATTTTAAGTAAACTTAGTTCCCTTTTAAGTGAGACTGCTATCAAGACACTCACTGTGAATGTCAAGGATGTGAACTGTATCAATAATTTTTATTTCATTGGCTTGCTAGCTTTATTGAAAAAGAGGCTAGAAGTTTTTCTTCTACTGGACAGCAGTCTGTCCAGCGCTCACACACCGAAGTGCATCTGTCCAAGTCTCGCTGAAATTATTTGTAGTAACTCAGAGGTCAAGGGATGCAGTCCTTCAAGCACGTCTCTCATGTTGTTTTTAGTTTGAGGACAGTATACACATTTTGTACATGTTTTTTGTACCCTTTAGATGACAGTGTGATCTTGTTCTGCATCTGAGTCATTAGGCAACACTGCTGATTTTTGTGCTTTGTTTTTCTCCTTATCTGAGTCAGTCTTGGGGCTTCAGTCTTCTGGTTTATTTTCCCATTACCTCTTCTGGTTGTTTCAGTTTTTCCTTTGTTTTAATACTTTTCCTGATCTGCATGTCTTGAGAAGCTGTGGAAAGGTCTGCTGTGATCTTTTTAGCCTACTCTTGTAAGTGATATCAACACGTAGCCATTCCTACCACTCTCTGTTCCTTCTGGAGCTTTGACACCATTGTATTTTCAATTGGTATGGTCTTAGCTGAGCTATCTGGAATTGTTTGGTGCTTGGAAGTCTCATTTTTCTCCTATCTGGAGGAAGAACCTTCCTCTGAGACAGTATGGTATATATCACCTTGAAGGTTAAAAAAAAAAAAGATGATGAACAGGTATAAAGAGAGCAGTTTCTTGAAGATGGGGTATGGAAAAAGCTGCGAGTAAAGTTAGTCTTAAAATTTAAGTGTAAAATTTCTAAACTGTATCTTGATTATAGGGAAGAATGTTACTGTATAGACATTTATAATCTCAAAATAGGCAGTTATAGAATCACAGAATCATGTAGGTTGGAAGAGACCTTGAAGGTCGAGTCGGACTGTTAATCTGACACTGCCAAGTCCACCACTAAATTATGTCCGAGTGCTACTTCTACACGTGTTTTAAACACCTCCAGGAGCGGTGACTCAACCATTTCCCTGGGCAGCCCGTTCAAATGCTTGACAACCCTTTCAGTGGAGAAATTTTTCTTGACATCCAATCTAAACCTCCCCTGGTGCAACTTGAGGCCATTTACTCTTGTCTCATTGTTTGTTACTTGGGAGAAGAGACCAACACCCACCTTGCTACAACCTCCTTTCAGGTAGTTATAAAGAGTGATAATATAGAGAGGTTAAGTACTCGTTTGTGGATGATCTACTAAATGCTGCCCTGTGAAAAATAAGCAGACTTTCATTTTTGTTACTTGCAGCTATATAGGAGAAAAAAGAATTAACTACTTGAACAGCTTAATTTCTTTTTGGATTTTTTTACAGCCAAGAGGAATTCCTCATAGTATTACTGAAGACTTGGACTATATGACACTTCTTCAATAAGCAAGTTTCACTCTAGGAAAACTGATGAGCTTGATTTTATTAATTTCATTAGTTTACTTTTTTCTAAGTTTAGGCCTATGGTTGGTTGTGATTGAGAACAATAGATTCTGAGATTTTTCTAGCATGTATTATACAAGGTCTTCCAATAGGTTTCTCTTGTGAAGATTTTTGCTGTTAATTTTTTTGTGATGCTTGGAAAAATAAGTTGTTTCACTTAGAATTCATGCTAATGAAACTACTTACTGTATTTCTTTTAAAGTATCTTTGTAGTAACAAATTAAAACTTCAACGATCCATAGTTTTTCATGCTTCTAACAGATTTGTACATAAAGTAAGTCTGGTCAGCACGTAACCTATGGTGTTTTTTTTCCTTTTTTCTTCTCTTCCTCCAGGGAAAATGCCATATAATAAGAAGGCTGCTGGAAAAAGAGCCCCTGCAAAAAGGAAACTTGCTGAAGTGTTTGCTCTGGGGGAGGTTCTAGCAGATACATCAAGAAAAGAATGGAAATTAGGTGTCCCTATAGGGCAAGGAGGCTTTGGACGTCTGTACCTTGGTAAGTGTAGTTATCTTTGATAATGCTTTAAAATGGAGAGTAAGATGTTTATCCTTATTCAAAGCAATAAAAAATTGACTGTAAGTTAGAAATGCAGAGTGTCTTCAAGTGATCTTTTTTACTAGAACCTTAACTTGGTTCATGATGTTGGAAAAAAAATGGCAAGAGTGAACAAATGGTCATTGTAAGAACTGTGGTTGTATGAGATTCCAGTGGTAGTTCATTCATTTTTTTTTAAACTAAAATCTCTTACTTTTTAGCAGTGAAAGTATTTATCTAAATCTGATTTTCGGTCTGGCTGAAAGAAGGGATTTTTGCATGAGTGTCTTTATATCACAAATTCTGAACAAAAACTGTCTAAGAATATTCTGTGGAGACTACTGATCAGCCAGTATTTTGGCTGTCTTCGACTTTGCTGCTTTTGACTTTTTCGCTGCTTTTGACTTTTTCATTGCCTTGTGGACTTCTCTCATAAGTCATATACTTTTTTTGTCTGTAACCAGTGCTCAAAACAAATTGAAATCATAGAATCATATGGCATAGGCTGGAAGGGACCTTAGAGATCATCTAATCCAACCTCCCTGTCATGGGCAGGGACGCCTCTCAACTAGATCAGGCTACTCAAGGCTCCGTCCAACCTGGCCTTGAACACCTCCAGGGAGGGGGCATCCACAACCTCCCTGGGCAATTTAATCCAAAGTCTCACCACCCTCGTACTGAAGAATTTCTTCCTAAGATCCAATCTAAATCTGTTCTCCTTCAACTTAAACCCATTTCCCCTTGTTCTACCAGTGAACACTCTTGTAAAAAGTCCCTCCCCAGCCTTCCTGTAGGTTCCCTTCAGGTATTGGAAGGCAGCTATTAGGTCCCCCTGAAGTCTTCTCTTTTCAAGGCTGAACAATCCCAGCTCCCGCAACCTGTCCTCGTAGCAGAGGTGCTCCAGCCCTTGGATCATCTTTGTGGCCCTCCTCTGAACACGCTTCAACAAATCTATGTCTCTCTTATGGTGGGGACACCAGAACTGGACGCAGTATTCGAGGTGGGGTCTCACAAGAGTAGAGTAGAGGGGGAGAATCACCTCTCTTGACCTGCTGACCACATTAATCTTGATACATCCCAGGATGCGGTTGGCCTTCTGGGCTCCATGAGCACACTGCCGGCTCATGTTGAGCTTCTCATCTATAAACACCCCCAAATCCTTCTCTTCAGGGCTACTCTCAACCCACTCTGTGCCCAGTTTGTATTTGTGCCTAGGATTGGCCCAACCCAGGTGAAGGACTTGTTGAACTCATGCAGTTAGCACTGGTCCAATTCTCAAGCCTATCAAGGTCCCTCTGGATGGCATCTCTTCCCTCAAGTGAGTCCATGGCACCACACAACTTGGTGTCATCGGCAAACTTACTGAGGGTGCACTCAATGCCGTCATCCATGTTGCTGACAAAGATGTTGAACAGCACTGGACCCAGAACAGACCCCTGAGGGACACCGCTTGACACTGGTCTCCATGTAGACATCGCACCATTGACCACAACTCTTTGAGTGCGACCATCCAGCCAGTTCTTTATCCACCGAGTGGTCCATCTGTCAAATCTGTGTCTCTCCATTTTAGAGACAAGGATGTTATGTGGGACAGTGTCAAACGCTTGCACAAGTCCAGGAAAACGACATCCGTTGCTTTACCCACGTCAACCAGTGCTGTGGCTTTGTCATAGAAGGCCACTAAATTAGTCAGCCATGACTTGCCCCTAGTGAAGCCATATTGGCTGTCACCAACCGCTTGGTTATTTTTTATGTGACTTAGTACAGCTACCAGGAGAATCTGTTCCATGATTTTACCTGGCACGGAGGTAAGGCTGAATGGTCTGTAGTTTCCCGGGTTGTCCTTGGTCCCTTTTTTAAAGATGGGAGTTACGTTTGCCCTTTTCCAATCTGTAGGAACCTCACCAGACTGCCAGGACCTCTCAAATATGATGGCTAGTGGCCTAGCAACTTCAGCTGCCAGTTCCTTCAGGACCCGTGGATGTATCTCATCAGGTCCCATGGACTTGTGCACCTTCAGGTTCTCTAGTGTTCCTGGACCTGATCTGCTCCTACCCTGGTGTTGTGGGTTAGGCTGCTCTGGCAAACTAAACCCTACACAGTGGTTCTTCACTCTCCCAGACCCAGCCAACATCCTGTGTGATTTAATCTTGGACTTTAAACCATCAGCACAGATCTTGTTTTGCAATGCTGTTTACTGAATTTGAGGAAAACTTCTAGTGGATAGTGTTCCATACTTAGTATCTCTGTTATTTGAACAGATGAACAGAGGTCTTGAGGATACATCAGGGAATTGAAAGAACTTGATTGCCCCTAGTTGTTTTCAAAACAATTTTGAAGGGGCGAAAGTTAATGTGATAAGGATGATAAGGTTTTCCTTTGCTCTGCATTTATGGTCTCCTCTTGGTGAAAAAGTTGCATTGAATTATACTGAGTTGGAAGAAATAGTTAATAATCTGTCCTGCTTTCAGACTGAACAGACTGCAGCATAAGTGAATTAAGAAGGAAAACAGGACTTAAGGGTGGCTTCTTGACAAAGAAGCTCTCTACTACTTACTCAGCCTTGCTCAATGAGCTACTAAATTTACTGAGAGTGGAGTTCCAGCTCACTCAAATTGTGTAGTCTTTTGTGTTCAGAACTCCTGCTTTGTTGAAGCCACAGCTTGCCCTCTCTTTGCTTCCCCATCATTTGCACAAAGCTGTGCGCCTGAGTGTTCCTGTACTTTGTGCTTGCCTAACTTGGTGTCCTTCATACCTGTCTCCTTCTGTCACAAATACAGCCTGAGCTTAGTAGCAACTGAAAGTCACTTTCAGATATGTTACATGGCAAAATAGTATAGAGAATGTGTTTTTCATCTTTATATCCACAACTGCCTATGTTCATCACAGTCCTAGAAAAGGAAAGAAATGTTGTTGACTAGGAAAAAGTTACTGAATAACAAAAAAGATCTTTATTTGGTAAACTGCCTGTTCTCCTCAGACAGAAAGGAGAATGCCAGACCATATCCATATAGAGTAGTCTTGCCATACAGAGTAGTTCCCTTACCAAAGTCTAAGGTACTGATGTACATTCATGTCGGTACTGAATTGCTTTGTCATTTGTTTGTCAATGCTGCGTAGTAAATAAATGTGTGTTTTTGTGACAGTTTCCTCTCCTACTACTAATGAACGCTTCCTTTTTAACAGCTGATGTTAATTCTTCAAAGTCGGTTGGCAGTGATGCACCTTATGTTGCAAAAGTGGTAAGACAGCATTTAAATCTTCACAATGTGAAAATGTTTGTTCTAGAATAGCACGTGTAATTTAAAACATCTTCTGATTGAAAATATTACAATTGCATGGTGCTGTTTAAAGTAAAAGTAAATGTGGTGAGAATTGGGACTCCTGTGTATGAGAGTGGATAATGGAACATCAGTGGAGTTGAAAAACGTTCATGAAATGGATCAGATTGTGTTTCATTTACTCCTTCCTGTAAACAGACCAAATATCACAAAATGAATAGAATCTGGCTAGCTTTTGCAGAATTTCTGTGATTCAACAGTGAGTCTGTGTGAATTGTTGCTCACCACTGGATGTTGGTAAGCTGACAGATGGCTTGGGAGTAGAAACAGCAAAACTTTGATTCCCGAGGTCCCCACAGATATAAAGCCCTTTAATTGTTTTATCATAAAACACATACACATTCTAATTCTATTGAATTAAAATGGCATCGACACATAATTTTTTTAACCTAAGATTAGTCCAAAGAAAAAGCATTGTTAGTAGTTCATTTATATTGTTGCAAATCAGCAAATTCTTCTTATTAAAACCACAAGAAAATTTCAACTAATATTAAAATATAAAAGATTTTCTTAAGTTGATTTGGCTATGTTATCTTCCTGACGTATAAAGTATTTTTTCTTAAATTCTGCTAGATTATATTTTGTATAGATCCTACCATTATGTATGATTCCCTGGTAAAGTCTTTAGTAAAAAGCCTGGGAATATGGGAATAGCTATAGTAGATCCAGACCATTTGTCATCTTGCTGGTACTTCTGGTCCTGTAACAAAAGCAAATACCAGAAAACTGTACAAGAACTTCACAATGTAAAAAGTTAGTTCTTCAGCACAGTTTGGAATGTTTTATTCTTTTATTTATTAAGCTGTATGGCCATTCTGAAATACTTTACCTCAATAGCTTGCCACTTCTGTAAATACGTTAATACTTTTAACATTTGTTCCTAGAACTAAAAGATCAGGCTGATTTAGAATGAAATACATTTTAGTTAGTATGTGCCTTTAATATTGATATCTATATCTGCTGACTACAGGGAAATTCTCAAGTACTGGTTTTGGTACTGTTCAGACACCCCAAGATACTACTGTTGGTGATGACTCTCTTTCTGAAATGTTGTCACTTGCTGAAAAAAGCCCTGCTCACGATGCAAATGTCACACTACCAGACTTTCAACATCAGGCGACTGCTGCTGCCTTAGGTGTTTGTGGGCAGGAA